GCTGAGCGGGGAGCAGCACCTGGGTCCCTGTCATCCGCCGCAGAGCTGGCGGTCCCGCTACGAAACCACTCCGGAGAAGGGGCTTTGCTCTGGACAAGGTTTGTAAACTGTCACCGTTGCACTTGTTTTCCCGGGAGCTGAGTGGAGCGGGCGCACCGGGGTGGCATGCCGGGGTGCCCTCCCATGCCGCCTGACTCCCGGGTCATAAGGCTGATGTATTTTCAACCATCAAAACATCTGCATGAACTAGAGGAAGGAGATTGATGCCATTCATCTTCCCCATGGTCGGGAAGACTGAAACAGTGTCTTTGCTTCTTTTCTGCTTCGTTACCCGATACGCCGGGGACTGCCGGGAGGCTTGTTCACCTGGTCGTGCCGGCAGCACAGCGACCCTGCCCGAGTGCCCGACCTGCCAGCGGGCTCCTTCCTGGTGAGCACCTAGTGTTGAATCACCACTGCCGTTGCTGGTGCCTTTGAAGAATCACTTCCATGGGGTTTATGCGCTGGGTGGTGTGAAGTCGGGGTGTGCTTGCTGGAGACCGAGTCACCCCGTCTTTGCACGCTGACTTTGCAGGAAGAGGGGCTGCGCTAGCTGAGAGCCCGGAACCTGCCATTGCCGAATCCCGGCACAAAAATCCCTCTGCTACCTGTGGGGCATTGCTTTCCTGCGGAGGCGGGCTGCTGTCTTACGCATCCCGACACCTGGACGAGGCTAAGGCAGTTCAGGTCATCCTTTACGCCAGGGTAAGGTTGTGCATGTGCGTGCTGCTGTGATCAAAAGGCTCCTTCAGCTGCCCTGCTTGAGATACTGGATGGGCTGGCAGCTGAGGCTGATAAAAGCATATTGAAGTAAGCCCGCTGTACGTAAGGTTTTCCAGGAACGCTGAAATCGCTGCTACTTTGTGATGGATGGAAGTTCCCAAGAGAGGATTTTGTTTTCTTTCATATCGAATTAAAGTGCTCTACGAAAAATTGATCTTTTTTTTTTTCATGGAAAAGAAGTCAGCTTTACCATTTTTCCCCATGTATTTTATGCATTGGACACCTCTAGGGTATGACTGAGGGTTGATTAGAACTGAGACGTTGACAAATACGGCGTTCAGACCCAGTTGGCAGAGGCTATCTCTAGGGAAGCTTCACCATTATCTTACTTTGCTTTTTATTTTCTTCCTAGACATCAGTTACTGACCACAGGGAGGGAGAGACTGCTGCAAGAGATATTCTTTTTGTATGGCTACGTGCAGCTGACCTAACATTGTCATATGTATTATGCTTAAACACTGAACCTCGCTGAAGCATGTGAGTGCCCTTACAATTGAGCAACCTTTCTGAGCTCTAGTAGATAATCGATGCGCTCAGAGGTTTGTACAGAAGAGACCTCTGTCAACTTCTGCCTTTAGTGTTGCCCTGGCATGCAGCAAGGTAGGGAGAGGGGAAAAACTACTCGGGAAGGAGTAAGACATTATAAAGCTCAGAAGAACTGGCAAAGTGACTCCTGGGCAATGGGGAAACTACTTTTACCTACTTTAGGCATAAGTAGATTAAAAGTCCAATTAGAGAAATGCATGGGGAAATGAACAGCCCCAAGGAGGGCTGTTAGGTACAAAAATACAGCCTGTTCTTTAGGAAGTCTCAAAGCTGCAGATAGCTGGAAGCTGGGAGGAAATATCACTGCACACTATAAGGAAAAACCACTCTGCATTTGCTCAGTTCTTATACTCTCTCCCCAAGCATCTGTGCTGGCTAGGGACAGGATGTGGGATGAGGTGGACTTTTGGCATCAACCAGCACGGCCATCTTAATGTATTTAATGTTTCTGAA